TTTTTTTCAAACACTTAACTTGTGTTTGGGGAAGGGGGCTCACCCAGAAGACGGTGTTAGATCCCCTGAAACTGGAGTTAAGATGGTGACTAGCTGACATGTGGGTGCTGGGAATTGAACCAGGGTGCTCTGCAAGAGTAGCCAGTGTGCTTAACCATTGAGCCACCTTTCCAGACCCTTCACTACAAATTCTTACATGACCAGCTTTCTGGCCATTAGTAGTGGCAGAAGACAGCAGTGTGAGTGAGCTGCAAACAATGTAATGGCTATTTGTTCTGATCACTTCAAATATTTGAGCTTCAAAAGCACTTAAAAGAATGTAATCATTTCAGCTGAGGAAAAGCAATGAATAATTTTATGCCATGATAAAATCAAAACACTTTCTAGGTATATTTCCCCCACCTTAAGACTAGCGCCAAGAAATTTCAGGATGGTGTAGTAGGCTAAAAAGCTTTTGAGTAAGTCTCCTTAGAAACTACCTCCTATTTCATAAAAGCCACGCTTACGTTAACTGTTTTGTTTACTCCCCGATCAACCAATTATGTAGATACTATTACTACTATTCTCATTTGAAGATTCAGATAATTGAGTTTTTCAAAGTTACAAATCCAGTTTTTCATGGTGGCACACTCCTTTAATCCCAGCACTAAGGAGGCCGAAGACTGGAAGTGGCGGAGCACGCCTTTAATGCTACAACTCTGGAGGCAGAGACAGGTGAATCTTTTACCAGTCAGGTCTACAGAGTGAATTCTGGGACAGACAGGGATACACATGAAAACTTGTCTCGAAAACAAACCAACAAAACAAATCCAAGTTACAAACCAGGGTAAACGGAAACACAGAATCTGACAGGTTTTTTGAGACAAGGTTTCTCTGTGTAGCCTTGACTGTCCTGGAACTCACTTTGTAGACCAGGCTGGCCTCGAATTGAAGAGATTCGCCTGCTTCTGCCTCCGGAGTTCTGGGACTAAAAGCGTGTGCCAACCCCTCCCGGCTAGGATCTGACACTTTCAAGTGGCACCTGGAAGGGCAAGTCCTTGCTCTTAATCACAACCTTAGCCGGGCTCTGTGACTCTGCACAAGTCATGTATCTGCATAGCCCTGAGTTTGTTCATCTGTAAAACAATGCAATGAAGCCTCAAGCCTCTTAAACACCTGTCTTAGTAACCTGGGTAACCATACTCACTGTTTCTTTTAAATAATGTCTACTGAGAAAGTAGCTAGTAAGAGACTGAATCTCTGTCGTGCCGGGTGGTCTCCCTGCCAAGTACACCACCCTCTTGCCGCGATCCTAGGAAGCTGAAAGGTCCCTCTTTCCCAGCGATCTGATGGGGTCCTCGCCCCTTCGGCCTTTGGGGTAGCCTCAGTTCAGGCCCGCAGATCTACTCACCCTTCAGGTGATCTTTGCTACTTGGCACGGCGGAACTACGCGTCCCCGCTGCCCCGTCCCCCGCCGGGGTCGAGTGCAGCATCCCGGACTGAGATCGCTCGACGACTCTGCCTTTCGCCATGGCTGCTGCAGGGAACAGTAAAAATCACCCAGTGGTGCCGCGCCCCCTTGAACGACTAAACTCCTCCCGCAGCTTCCTTCCAACACGGAGACGCGCGGCACAGCCACTTCCGGCGCGACCCCCTCACCCGAGAAAACCTCGAAACCTCCACACTCCGCAGAGCCTCCCACCGATCTCAAGTGAGGGCCCGCCCCGCCCCGCCCACGAGCCTCGCGCGCTCCCGCAGGCCCAGTAACCGCGAGCCAAGTCAGAGCCGGCCCCACCCCCTTCGGAGCCCCGCCCACCTCACGCGGGCGGGGCGCATGAGCAGTCGCTGTGCCAAGTCACGCGTCTGCGGCTTGAGGATCGACGTCCCTGCGCAGCTTTAATCACGCGGAAGTGATGCCTGAAGTACTTCAGACTCTTTGTTCCCGCCGACCGGAAGTGCCTGCGCGCGACTGGTTGGCGCTTCCTTACGGAAGCTTCGGTAGGTTCCACTGCAAGTGGGTCCGAAGCGCACCCGAAGATGGAGGCCTGGTCTGAAGATCGTGGAAAACTTAAAACGTGAGACAAACCTACCTGATCCTCAAAAAAACTGAGGCCCAGAGACAAGGTGTGACCTCTGAAGGCCAGAGTGGCAGAAATGGGTTTGGAATTCAGGTTTTCTGGTTCAAAACAAATGCATTTCCGCCGTTAACCCGCCTGTCACAGGTAAATTAACCCTAGCTCATAGTTGGCGTATCCAGAGCCCTGGCATACCTTCTGGACAGTTTTTCTGCTCCTGCCCCTCAGAACAGCTATCCAGCTTCTCACTTGTAAGTGTATTAGAGTTCCTCCCTTTAAGTTTTAGGTTTGTTTTAATTTTGCTGCTCGTTTATACGAGACCTTGGGTATGCAAAGCACACATTGGCCACCGAAGGATCCCTGTCCCATCAATGCATCCCCACCCCCGGGAGCTTCCTTAAAAGCAGGTATCGGGGGACTGGTGAAGGGGCTGTCGGTGCCAGGTCCGGCCGCGAAGGTGGCAAAAAGAAGCCCCTGAACCAGCCCAAGAAGCAGGCCAAGGAGATGGATGAGGAGGACAAGGCTTTCAAGCAGAAACAGAAAGAGGAGCAGAAGAAACTCGAGCTGAAAGCCAAGGCCGCGGGGAAGGGGCCCCTGGCCACAGGTGGAATTAAGAAATCTGGCAAAAAGTAAGCTATTCCTCTGAGGTGATGATGGTGACCCTCTTCCATTCCTATTTAAACATCTGGATCCCCTGCCATAACATCTTTGCCACCTACAGCTAGAATGAAGTGTTATCCTGGAGCCTGTTGAACATCTGTATTCCCTGCCATAACATCTTTGCCACCTACAGCTAGAATGAAGTGTTATCCTGGAGCCTATTGTACATTGTAATAAACTTTTGTAGTAAAACAAATACAATGGCTCATTGTCTCTAGTGTTCAGCAATTCCTACTCAGCTCTGAATGGAAAGAAAACCCAGACCAGAGCCTGCTGTTTCATCTTTGTTGTACTTGGAATTCTGTATCACTTTGAATTAAACTAGCCCATTTAAAAGGCAAAAAAAGAAAAAAGCAGGTATCGGAAGTCATGGGAATTTATTCATGAAAGCAACTTGGCAGTGTATTTTAAAATTTGGACAAAAAAGAGGGGATGATTGGAATCTTCCTATCCAATAATTATAAGAAACAATCTGACAGCCAGGGAGGTGGCAGCTCAGGGCATAAAGTTGTCTCCAAATTTGATAATCTGAGTTCGATCTCTGGGACCCACATTAAAGAAACCTATTCCATGAAAAGTAAAGTCAGGTGCGGTGGCACACGCCTATAATCCCAGCACTCAGGGAGACAGAGGCAGGCAGGTCTCTGTGAGTTTGAGGCCAGCCTGGTCTACACAGAGAAACCCAATCTCAAAAAAAAAAAAATTAAAATACCAAAAATGAAAACAGAGGTAAGTGTTTTTTTTTTTCTTTTCCTGGTTTTTCCAGACAGGGTTTCTGTGTAGTCGTGGCTGTCCTGGAACTCACTTTGTAGACCAGGCGGCCTGAACTCAAGAGATATGCCTGCCTCTGCCTTCTGAGTGCTGGGATTAAAGGGATGAGCCACTGGACCCTGCTTCATGAATGGTTCTTGGCTCTGGATCTGAAGCCTGCCAGCTGTCCATAGTCATGACATGCTATTCCATCAGTCACCTATATAGAATCTTTGCTATCGGTTTGAGCTTTTTTTCTGGTAATTGCAGTTCACATGATAGAAACAATGAAACAAGTTTGTAATCCAACACTAGAAGAAATGGTTAAGTAAATTCTGTAATACCAATTCACTGGAAATACTTTGTCTTCAGTATTGGGAATTGAACCCAGGGTCTTCTGGACAATATACTCACTAGGAAGCTAAATCTCAGCCCCAATCAGAGCTGTTTATGCCTATACCCTTTACCTATTTTTATTAAGGCTTTCCATTAATGACTGCTCTTAACTGGTTGCTCTTCATTTCCTTTGAAGTTTTCATTTTTAGCTATTTTTGGCTGTATCAGCCTAAATCATTTACATTGGCTCTTACTTGTTTTTCATTTTCTGAGACATGGTCTAATCATGTATTCCAAGCTGGCCTTGAACTTTTTGTTCTCATGCCTCAGCTTCTGAAGTGCTAGGATTACTAAACTTGTGTCACCACACCACACTCAGCCCCTTCATTTGACTTTGAAGCCTCCTTTGAACTGACCCTCCCCAAGGATGCCTTTATCACCAAGTATGCAAAGAGAATTATTACAGCAGGTCTGAGCCTGCTGGTCATAAAGATTCACTGTCAAGGAACTGGTGATTTTCTTGTAATCACAGAATTAGAAACAGAAAAGGGGAGAGAAGTGCTTAACATGAGAAGCAGAGGCAGAAGGATTACCTGGAGATTAAGGCTAGCCTACCTTACACAGTAAGTTTCATGCCAGTCTTAGCTTTATAGCAAGAATCAAACCACATACCAAAAAAATTAGGTTCTCATTTTTCAGGATTATCCTCTGCTGCATAGTGAGTTCAAGGCCAGCCTTTATTATAAGAGACCATGTCTTTGGTTTTTCAGTTTTTTGTTTTTCTCTTCTAAACAGGGTTTCTCTGTAATAGCAATAGCTGTCCTGGACTCACAGAGATCCACCTGCCTCTGCCTGCTGGGTCTACAGGCCTATGACACCAGGCCCAGCTTAGACCATACCTTTAAAAAAATTTTTTTTTTTAGTTTGATAATACTACAGTACATATAAGTTTTGCTGTGTAGTTGATATCTATTTTTACCTTTTTGGCCAGAGATATTTAGTAAAAGCAGCACCTTTTCCTTAGCTGTGTAGGAAAAATAAAAAACCTGGAGCCCTGAGCTTCATGCTTCCCATGTACATGTGTCTCAGTCTAAAGCAGGGGTGAAAGCAGCGTAGAGGCAGAAAAAGAAGAATGACTGCTCAGGCAGCCAAAGAAAGAATGTTGTCTAGAAATAGCTAAGAATGCAGTGACCCAAGCCAGGCATTTAGAGAGAGTCAGTGCCTTCTCCCCACCCCCCAACAGGGTTCTGCTCCACATCCAGAGCCCTGGGATAATAGGCATATGCCACTAGCCTAACTTGAGAACTCATTTTTAAGTGCCACTATCCAGGCAGCATCAAGCAAGGCAGACCAGAAGTCAGTGGGATGCCTGGAAAAGAGCAGATGGGCTAGAATGAAGTTCCACCATGAAAACATGGCAGATAGGATTGGCATTTTCACATATGGTCACAGCAGTATAAAGAGAATGACAGTTTCAGTTAAGGGGAACCAAACAAGCCAAATTATTTGGCTTGACATCACCTGTGTGTGAAAAGAATACAGGCACCTTCAGCTGCCTTTTCATTTGTGTGAGTAGGGAGAGTGCTGGACAAGAGCACTCAGGCTTTGAGCCAAGTATGGTAGCTCATGCTTGTAATTCCTAAAATGGGGAGGCTAAAGCTGGAAGAATGCCATGAGTTCACGGCCAACCCAGGCTATAGAAGGAGAATCTATCTTAAAAACAAAAAGACAGCTGGGTGCAGTGGCGCACACTTGTGATCCCAGCGCGCAGGGAGGCAGAAGCAGGCAGATTGCTGTGAGTTCTAGGCCAGCTTGGTCTATAAAGTTAGTCCAGGACAGCCAAGGCTACACACAGAGAAACCCTGTCTCGAAAAAACAAAAATTAAAACAAACAGGAAACAAACCCCATGCTGGCCTGGGCAGCAAGAAGAAAGACACCCAAGCACCTGCTGTGGGCACCACTACGATGAATAGACAACTGATGGAGTGATGAGAAAGATGGAGAACGCTGTGGAGAGATGGAAGAGAAAGCAAAGCTGAGGGGTTTGTGCACTGTGGAGAAAGGCGGAACTGGAGAGTGGACGACAGTGAGGAACAGATATGAGGAGGCTATGGTGAGGTCCCGGTCCAGGCTGCTGCCAAGGGCCATATCTAGATCCATGGTCCTGCTGCAGCTGGGTTCTGTGTTGATATCTGTGGCACGTTACCACCAAAGACCAAAGGGATATCTGTTGGCAGGTCTGACCTGTCACCAGAAACCACCACATGGATATCTGAGAACCATGCTGCCAATGGGGCAACATGCTGGTCCTGAGTAGCCTGTGCCTCTGCCTGAGGCCATGGAGAATCCAGGCCCAGGCTGCAGCCAGAGACCAAGCTGGATCCATGGTTTTATGGCAACCAGGGTCTGTTTTGATATCCCAAGCCTGTGTTATCTCAAAAAGTGATGCAGATGTCCCTGGTCTGGACTGCAACCTAAGGCACTGTGCTAAGCTAGCCCCAACTCTCTATGGCCATTACACTCCAGAGAATTAGCCTCACCCCTAGTCTGCCATGGGTAGGCTTGGACAAGGGAGAAATTCCCTACCTCTACTCCATGTTGCCTGCAGCAAGCAAGAGAGCTGACCCTTGGGTTATGAGAGTTGAAGTGCTAACCAGGGCTAGGCCATCCTGGTCTACAAAGTGAGTCCAGGACAGCCAGGGTATTACAGAGAAATTCTGTCTCTATCAGGAAAAGAGAGAGAGAGAAGGTCCTGCCCCTCACTAGCAGCATTCAGGAGAGTGGGCTCTGCACCTTGCCTAGAGCTGGCCCTGGTGGTGAAGGTGCAGGTATGCTGGCCTCTAGGACATGAGAGCAGAAGAGCTGACCCTGCCCCTTGCCAGCGGTGGCATTGCCAGCCAGGGCAGTGCTGGAGAGCTCACCCTAGTGGTGCAGGCACAGATGAACTGGTGGGATGATCAACTCAACTATCTCCCAGACCCAGATCCAGGGTTTTGAGTTGGCTCACCCCCACATCTACCCCATCTGTGATCTACTGGGACACATGAAAGGGCCAGTCCTGCAGATCCAAAGCTGCAGGACCTCTGACGACACAGGGAACAACACGATATCCAAGAGGAGTCCCAGTGAGGATCCAGTATAGATAGTATAGCAGAAGCCAGAGGCCTCAAGCAGACCAATGACTCACGGCAATGACCATTTACAAGATGTAAAAATAAAACAAGTAAAGATGTGGACAGACAGGTATATACTATGTGACACATTGTGACACACTACACATTACAGCTTCTACAAGATCTTTTTATTTCACCTTATTTCATTTTCGAGGGGAAGGTTGCAAGGGTGGAGGATGAATACCAAGAGACAGGGAGATGAGTGATTGGGGTACATGGTATGAAATTCACACAAAAAAATCAATAAAAAGTTTTAAAAACTCAAAAAGTAACAATAGCTGTTCAAGCTTTGATGCCTATATATTTCTCTGAGTATTGTGATTTGATCAAGCCACTAAAGTTTCTTGGTGTGGTGTCTTTTACCTATAATTATAGTATTCAGGAGGCAGATGAAGGAGAAACATCACAAGTTCAAGGACAGCCTGGTGGACAGAGGGAGTTCCAGGCCAAGCAGAGCTACAAAGAGAATCTTGTTTTCCATATCCCCACCAAAAGATCTCTAAAGAGTTCACCTTATCTGAGCAAATCAGACTGTGATATCCTGTTTTTATTTATTTATCTTTGAGTCAAGATTTCATGTGTTTTATGCTGGTCTCAAACTGACTTGAATTTCTTTTTTTTTTTTTTTTTTTTCTGACAATTCAGCCTTGAATTTCTGATCTTCCTTCCTTCACCTTCCAGGTTCTGCCTGCTCTATGTTAACCTTTTTGTTTTTGTTTTTTAATAAGATAAACTTTTGTATTGGTTTTTCCATAAGACATATTACCAGTCCTCATTATATCATGAAGTATGTAGGTATTTGTTTCATCACACCTCTCTGATTAGAAAACAAAGCCCAAGAGAGTAATTACTATGTTTCATCTATTGCTATTTCCTCAAAGGTCAAAGGTATGTCCAACATGAACAAGTGGTCAAAATTTTTATTGAATTATACAAAAAATAATTATTGCTAAAAATGTTCTAAGAAGTTTAAGGAGTCTGGGGAG